AAAAACATTATTACAAACAAACAATGTATGCATACCACTATTCATTGCAGCACTCAATACCATAGCTAATATTTGGAATCAACCTGGATGTTCAATGACAGATAGATGGATCATTAATATGTGGTATATAAACACAATGGAATACTACACAGCTGTTAGGGATGATGAAATCATGAAACTTGGTGCAACTTGAATGGAACTGGGAGAAATGATGTTAAATGAAGTAAGCCAGAAGTAGAATTAACACAGGATTATATCACTCATATGTGGTAGTTAGAATAACTGGATGAAGGAATTCAATGGTTTAAAAGTAGATGTCCTGAACAACCTTGGCCCCAGATTATAGAGAAGAAAAGGAAAAGAAGAGTAGAGGGGAACAGAAGGAGGAGAGAGAAAGATGAGAATCAAAGGGGGCCAGGTCAGCGTAGTCATGTTCAAGGGTTATGTTAAGAAATGTTAGAGCTAAATATCAAAACCACTGAGTCAACAGCACTGAAATCAAAAGACCAAAACTTTAACAATAAAACTTAGGTGCATGCCAGGCGAGCAGGCTAGAAGAAGGATATGGGAGGGAACCTGGGAATTTTGGCGGTGGGATTAGGTCTACAATATTGTATGTCTAATCTCAATGATGAATCTCTGTGTCACAGTGCTTTGATTTTAAAAATGTGTAAAAAGTTTTAAAAAATAAATAAAAATTTTTAAAATAGGAGCAGATAAAAACAAAGGAGACCACATCATATTATGAACTTTTTCTACTACAAAAGAAATGACAAGATGGATGAGGTGAAAAGAGAATCCTCATTCTCTGTTGGTGGGAATTTTGTCTGATTCAATAATCTCTGTGAAAAGAAATATGGAAATTTATTTTTTAAAAAAGTAAGATATAGCTCCCCTACAACACAGTAATACAGTTCTGATATCTATTCTCCTTGAAGAAATATTAAAACATTAATTCAAAAGGGTGTATGCACACCTGTATTGATTGTAGCATTCAGTACAATAGTCAAGATTTGGAAACAACCCAAACTCCAACAAGGGAGGAGTGAATCAAGAAGCTATGTGATATTTACATGATATTTACATGAGATACACAGAATGCTGTTCATGACTGAGTTTCAGTCATATAATGTTCCAACACCTGTTCCTTCAGCAATGTACTTTTCCCACCATGAATGTCCCCGTTTTTCTCCTACACCTTCCCCTGCCTTTCTCTATGGCAGGAACTTTCCTTCTCTCTCTCTCTCTTTCTCTCTCTCTCTCTCTCTCTCTCTCTTTAATATTGTGCATTATGGCTTGCAATGAAGGTATTGAAAGTTTTCCTTCACCTTCTTTCACTTCTCAGTTATTGTCCAGAGTCATTATTTACAACTGTGAGTGTCATAGCAATCTATTCTTTATCCTAACTCACACAGACCCTCGACCCCACACACACAAACTTCAAACCATTGACAAGTCCTATTGACCTCTCTTTCTTCTTTCCTTGGATACTAGTTTAATACTATGTTTTTTTGTTACATGATAAAACCTTGTGAAGCTATAAGAAAGGATGAAATCATGCCATTGTCACTACATGGATGGAGCTAGAGGATATAATTCTGAGTGAAGTCAGTGACAATGAAATGCATTATTTGTATATATAATAAAGAAGTTGATTTTTACACTGAAAGGCAGATTAATACATAATAATAACGGGTGAGGGTTGAGGTGAACAAAGTGTGTTGAATAAAAGCTTGAGAAGCATTCTATGCTTATAACCTCTTTCTGAGAAGTCTAAATGCAGATATGATCTGCCTCTGATAATGAAATGTGTTCATATTTATTAAATACAAAGGGGGATATTATTGTACTGAGTGATTTATTGGATATTTGTATCACTGTTGTGTGAAGAGAGTGTAAGTGATCTCAGCACTTATTAAATGAAAACTATACTAACTCATTGAAAACTTCATTTGATCACTGCCAATTCTGATGCAATAGCCATGACTATCAGTATGCATCTTTTGTTGCAATATGTGAGGTTTATTATAACGGTTGACATATATTGTGCACTGTGTGTTTTAAAATGCATGATCTCGCAAAACAGTAATAAAACACCTATAATGACAGAAATCATTGTGTGAATATTATAGTTTCTGAAACAAGGCTGAGACAAGTTATTTTACATATTTATAAACAAACAAGAGTGTCTGGCAGAGCCCCACATTCAGCCCTTTCTGGCATATGCATTGGCTTCATTGGTGTTTGGAGAACAGCTCAGTCATTCCTGGGTCCAGTTAAGGCAGTTCCATTCCAGGGGCCTGTGGTACCCGGGACGCTCTCTCAGGTGGCCTTAGCAGCTCATTTCCTCCAGTGTGTGCTCAATCTTGTCCCCAGGGTCTAATTGGGCTGAAGCAATTGCCTTGCTTTCTATAACCAGGAGTTTAGGGACTTTGACATAGACCTCTATGAGACCTATAAAATGGTAACTTTATTGAGTTGGAGGTCAAGGACAGACACAGGAAGCTCAGCAAATTTGGGGCCCACAACGCTTTCTTCCCAGTGTTTAATTCTTGCTAAATACAACAGAAGCTGAGGATCTGCAAACTGGATTTGAAGCTTCTTGTGCTACCAAAGAGTGAAGCTATCAGAGTGAGCTTGGAATTATAGGACAGAAACTTGTATCACTGTGTGCTTAAGAAGTCTGTGTATGCATCTTGTGTACATATACCATGAGCTTATTTTTTTCTAGTGTATTATGATTTTTAAAAAATGCGTGTTTCTTCAACAGTTGTTGTGTATATATATATGATATCTCCATTGACTTAGTAAGAAAAATGGAGTGGCAGAAAGATAGGATAAGAGTTAAGACACTTGACTTGCACATGGTGCACCCTGGATTTATCTCCAGCATTGCCTATGGTTACTGGGCACTACCAGGAGTGACTCCTAAACACAGAGCCAGAAGAGGCCCTTAATACCACTGAGTGTGGCTAAAAAAATGATAAAGACAAAGAGAGAAAGAGTGACCAAGAAAAGTCGAGACGTAGACAGAAGTTAGAGAGAAAAGTTTACATGACATAAAGATTCTTTTTTTCCATAACAAGAGCACACAGCAGTAAGAAGTTCATGTAGAGCACTCAGAATGTGATCTGAACTCTTGCTACCAAATATCCATCACCCTCTAATTCGATCCTTCCATATTCTCAATTTTGTATACAGATGTAAAGAAAGTAAGGAGATTGTAGAGTCTGAAGAGACACAGATATGCTCCCCACAAGGTAGCAGAAATTTCCTGAGTTTACCCAAAGCCAGGATGGGAGTTTGAAATCCTTACTGAGTGGTATACAGTTGTGTGCTTTTTCCTTTCATTTATGAGTATCACTGTATGCCATCCAAGGTTTCTGTGTTTATGAGTTGTTAGTGATGTCTGGTTTGTATAGCATTTCTGTGGTTATGTCTGTGAATAAATGGGACCATCTTTCTTGCCCACAGCCATTTTAAGAGTCTGTCAATGATGGCCATATTACTGCATTGAACCGACAGGATCAGGTGAATGTCCTTCTCTAAGTAAGTTTCAGTCACTTATTCCTATTATTCCATTATCTCAGTAGGTCAAAAGTGGTCTAATTCACAGTCCGGTACTGCTGTGTCTATCTCTTATATTCAGGTTACACTGAAATAGGAAGAGTAACTTAAGTCTTGATCACCATGCTATATTGAGAATTAAAATGGACAGTGTTCACAAATCATTCAGCACTATGCCTGACACATAATCAATGTTCAGTCAACAGGAAGGAATTTAAGTTTCTCTCCCAAAACTAAGCATTTTTGTCATAAGTCTCCAAGGTTCATAAATCTCCAAACTCTGGTACAAAACATACAAAAGGTTTATAAAAATGAACTTGCACACACAGTATCTCACATACTTTGTGAACATAGTCTGGTCTTCTTTCCTAAAGTGAAGGACCATTGTCTTGAGAAGTTAAATATTGTGTGAATCAAAGCTCTCTGTTGATTATAAATTGTTTATAAATTGTTTATAAATTGTTAAATTGTTACTTTATTCCTGGTGTCTCCACACAGTGATCAGCCGCTATCAAACTTAGAGGACATGGAGAGATAGAACCAGTGTCCCTAAGTAGTAAAGATTCCTGCTATTAATCTTGAATACAAAGGACAGTAAAGATTTTCTCCTGAAACTATGTTGGAATGATATCACTTAGCATGTCTAGACACGTTAAATAATTAGAATTGGGAGAGCCAGTGTGTCGTGATTAGGAGACAGATTGTGACTGGATACATGTTGTCATTGCTTTCACCTATTATCTGGTGCAGTGGTTCATCCTTGGACTTTTAAATAATGTGATTTTTCTTCCTTGTAATTTAATACTGATAATTTTATCTAAGGATTTTTTAAGTATGTATATAACACATGGAATAATGTCTGGAATAATGTTGGCTAGTGGTCAATATTTTACATTTTTAATGATAATGGGCACATTTGTTGATAAGAATAACATTTTTAATTCAATTTAGAAAAGATATTAATTTATACTATAGTTAGTCTATATCAATGTAGAGAGTTTCACGTGATTTAAGGGGAAATGTCTAATGGTTGACGTAAATATCCATGTCCTTTTCATAGTAAATCATTTAAATTAAGTTTGGCAAGATGAAAAGCTGTACAATCCTACAACACCGAGACTTTGCATTGCTTATTTACTTTTGTTCGTGAATAGCACTTTGTCTAGTGCTTTGTACAAAGCATGAGTTAAGCTGTTGTTCAAAGTATTTCTGCAGGTTAACAAAAACATCATAGATTTGTTAACTGTGAAGATGTGATGTATTATTAGAACCCAAATGGTACATGGTGATTAATTCAAACATACATGTGAGTTGTGAACAAAGTCTAGTTTAAAAATAACTATTCTTTCATATAAATGCTGTGTTACTATAATATGGCTATTCAGGTTCTGAACATTTCCTTCTCTTTGACTCCCAGAAGAAAGTGGAGCATCATGAAGAGACAGAATGAGACCAGAGTTTCTGAATTCCTGCTCCAGGGTCTCCCTATACCACCAGAACAACAGGGCTGGTTCTTGATGCTCTTCCTGGCCATATACCTGACCACCGTGTTGGGGAACCTGATCATCGTCCTGCTCATCAGGATAGACTCTCGTCTCCACACCCCCATGTACTTCTTCCTCAGTGTCTTGGCCTCCAATGATGTGACTTTATCATCTGTCACCGTGCCCAAAATGTTGGTGGACATGCAGAGTAATCACAAGTCCATCTCATATTCATGGTGTATTTCTCAGGAATATTTTTTAATATTTTTTGCTTGTATTGACAATTTCCTTCTTGCAGTGATGGCCTATGACAGGTATGTAGCCATCTGTCAGCCACTCCACTACACAATGATCATGAGGGAGGAGCGATGCATCTCATTAGTAGCTTGGTGTGTGTTCTTCAGTTTTTTACACTCTCTGATAAATGCTCTTCTCTTGAACCAAGTGTCCTTCTGTGGTGATATTATCATCCCACACTTCTTCTGTGAACTCACTGCATTGTTGGAGGTAAGCTGCTCAGACACTTCACTCAATAAACTGGTCATATTCATTGAGGGAGGAATGATTGTAGGTATTCCATTCACTTTTATCATGGGATCATATATCTGCATATGGGCCACTGTCCTAAAAAACCCTTCTGCTAAGAAATTCTTCAAAGTCCTCTCTACCTGTGGTTCCCATCTCCTAGTTGTAGCTTTATTCTACGGGACCATTGCAGAAGTGTACTTATTCTCCTCACCATCCATGTCCAGTGCTAAAGAAATAGCTGCTTCTGTGATGTATATGATAGTCACCCCCATGATGAACCCTTTCATCTACAGCCTGAGAAACAGAGATATAAAACAAGCACTAAACTTGTTTGCTGTTAAGGTGATGTTCTGTAAGTCAACAACTTAGAAGGAACGAGATAATAATATTCAAATGAACAAGGAATCTATTACTCAAACTATAATCTAAGGATAGATATTCTGAGAGCTCAGCTGATACTATCTGTGCACAAACCTCAGAGTTTAAAATTCCCATATCGCACTCTGCTTACATACATCAGGGTTTTTTTACCCAGACTGACTTTCAGTTACTCTAAAATCTTCTTACCAATAGTTAAAAGTCTGTGATGCCTTGTTTAAACATATCTAGAAGTTGTGAATGGGAGAGTGATTAAGAACCAATTTCAGGAATGGAAGAAGAATGTCTCTGTATCCACCAGTGACAAGAGAAGCCAGCCTTTCTCTCTTCATATTTTCAATATCAAGGAAAGAAAGCAGGTAAAGAGAATGTCAAAGAAAGAAAGACTTGCATACATCAGGTTTTCCATCTCTCTATTTTGTGATTTCTATTATAAATCTTTAATGATTGCTTTTCCTTTCCTCTTAAGTATGGACTCATACCAGTTCTGAGAACCTCTGCATTGCCATGGAGAGCAGTTTATGGTCAGGCTCATCTCCAGTGAAAAATAACTGGCACTCCCCTGCTCCCAGAATTATTGGAGGTGACCCCCATAATAAATGCATGGGTTAAAAGAATTTGTTTCTCTTCTTAAATAAGGTGAATGATGTAATTTTGAAAAGTTTCTGTCTCTATAATATTTCAATTATTTCTTTGAAATTAGTTTTTTGTTTCAAATTTTTATTAGTGAATCACCGTGAGCTACAGTTACAGACTTACAAACTTTCATGCTTGTGTTTCAGTCATACAGTGATCGAGTATCCATCCCTCCACCAGTGCCCATATTGCACCACCAATGGTCCCACCACTCCCACCCCATCTCTGAAATTAGTTTTCAGTAGGGGCTCTAAACTAGTCTCCGTCTTGATCCAGGTGGCTGTTACAATGGATCTATACACGTGCAGAATTTGAACATGATATGCATTTTAAGTTTATGCACTTTGTTCATGCCTTGACACAACCGTATGGAAATGAATGATGAAGGAATTATAACAAACTAAAATTTTATGATTGGAAAGGTTATGATGACATGTATACATATCTGAATAAATTACATTCATTTTGATTTTTTGTGTTGGAGTGATAGGGCATTTGCCTTGCACACGGCCGACCCAGGTTTGAGTCCTCCATCCCTATCGGAGAGCCCAGCAAGCTACTGACAGTATCCTGCACACACAGCAGAGCCTAGCAAGCTCCCCATGGCATATGTAATGTGCCAAAAACAGTAGCAACAAATCTCACAATGGAGTCGTTACTGGTGCCCGCTCAACCCAATCGATGAGACGACAGTGCTACAGTGCTACAATAGGCATATGTAACTTTCAAATATAAAAAAGAATTCACACCAAAAAATCTTGACATATTTAGTATATTCATACACATAAAGACACCATACATATTCTTTTCTTTATGTGTAGATAAAAAGTGAGCTCCATTTTCTTGGTGTCCAATTATTTCCAGTGTTCCTACTTGATTTTTCCTTTCCTTTCCAATTGTTTCTGGTTTTTACTTTCAGTCTAACTCTTTAAAATAAAAGGTGTTGTCTCTTCTTGCATCACTATCAAATATTAATAGGGATACCCTTTCCAAATCCATCACACTGGAGTATGCAAGTTGACACAAGTGTGAGTGAAGGTTATATTATGATTCAGGGTTAACAAGGCCTCTCTGGGCTGTTAAAAAACAAAAAAAGCTGAAATATTAAATGAAGCCAAGTTTTTGAGGGATGTATGAGGGTCAATAATGAGTAATGACCGCATACATAATAGTAACTTATTTAATATAAAGATACAAATAGTCTAGAATGAACATAGAGAATTGAAAAATTAATTAAGCAACACATTTATTTCAAAAACTTAGACCATTAAAAGATCTCTTATAATTAACAATAATCACAAAACAACTCAATTTTAAAGGGCTTCTTTTGGACCAGAGAAATTACAGTGAGTGGGGAACTTGCTTAACATGCCTCTAACCTGGGTTTCAGTCCAGCCACCCTACAGTATCCCAAGAACTGCACTGTAGCTCTGTCACGCCATTGTTGACCAATTTGCTCGAGCGAGCACCGTATCATCTCCATTGTGAGACTTGTTGTTACTGTTTTTGGCATATAGAATATGCCACGGGGAGCTTGCCAGACTCTGCCATGCAGGCGGGATACTCTCAGTAGATTGACGGACTCTCCAAGAATGATGGAGGAATCGAACCCAGGTCTGCCACATGCAAGGCAAACACCCTACCCGCTGTGCTATCGCCCCAGGCAATCCCAACAACTACCTGAATTTATCTCAAAACGCAGAGCCCAGAATAAGTCCTTACCATAGCTTGGATTGCTAAAACCTGAGAGTTCGACATGTGTGTGTGTGTGGGGGGGGGGGGGGAGGGGGGGCAGGAGGTGGAGAAAGAGAGAGCAAGTTAGTTAAGTCAGATATATGCTATTTATAACAAACAAACAACAGTTCTAGAAAAAATCATAACTAGGTAAAAGTAAAGGAAGATCTACAAAGTAAATAATGAAAGAAAGCAAAAGAAACTATACTCATAAGATAAACTTTCAGCACAGTATAGAATCAAGAGAAACTTAGGGAAGCTATGTAATTATAAAGATGGTACTCCATCAATATATAGTTTATCTAAACATAGCAACACAAAATATATTAAAAAGCTACTTACCTATCTAAAGGGAAATATGTACAGCAACACAAAAATAAAAAAATTAAATGTATTTACACCAGTGCATGCATAATCCATAGAAAAGTTAACAAGGAAATAATGATCTTACTAATGCAGTAAACTAAATGGATGAAACACTGATGCAGAACATTTCACCCAAAATTGGTACTGGTCATGGGCGTGGCGTGATAACATATACACTCTGGAATAATAGGATGAAAACATATATGCATTTATAATCTTGCTACCTTAGACACATCAGTATATTTTTTAAAGCAACAGATTGGGGAGCAGACTGTTAGTACAGCTGGTAAGGTGCTTGCCCTCGCATGGCTGAACTTGTTTCAATCCCTGCATTCCATGTTGTGGCAGTGGCCCATGATCACTGCCAGGAGTGATTCCTGAGTGCTGAGTCAAGAATGCTGAGTGATGAGCCCAAGTTCTGAGCCCTGAGCATCACTAGAACAATCAAAAGCAACAGATTGGTTGAAGAGATAGTACAAGAAGTTAAGGACTTGCGTTGTGTGTGCTGACCCGGGTTCAATCCCTAGCACACAGATGGTCTCCTGAGTACCTCCAGTACTTTTGAGTACAAACAGAGTAACGTCACCTGAACATCACCCGGTATGGCCAGATCCACACACACAAAATTAAGCAACAGAATACATCTTCTTCTCGTAGAAATATGGAATAATCTCAAGGATAAAGCTTAAGTTGGAACACACAATTCTCAATGAATATAAGAAAAGTGAAATCAAGGGGGGTATGGTGCCACCAGCAGGTCAATCTGTACGTGTGAGGCGAGTGCATCAGCAGCCTGAAGGCGCCTTCAGACTTCCAGATACCCCAAAATTGCTGCTGTGCCTTTGGCCAGACCCCCAAAACTTGGGGCAAAGTTTACCAAGACAGTAAATGGCCAAAAGTTAGGTATGTGGGAGACACACCCACAAACCACCTCTGGCTCAGTTATGTAATTGGAGGAATGGCCTCTCTTGTTCCTGATTGAACTGCTTAATGGTCGTGATCCCAGAGACTCAGAAACAAATCTCGAAACCCAACGGCTTTTGGCAGAAATGCGTCTGGTCCTTGCAGTAAGTTACCGGTGCTAGGCCAACCCAGGTGGGATAGGTTTTGTTCCTTGGCCTATTCTCCCTGGCGGCCCGGTGGCTGCCATCCTCCAGAGGCTACTGGATAGTCACATTTGGACCCGCAATGACGAGACACGCAGGGCCTCACAGGATGGGGGTGAAGCCGGTCTTTTCCTCCCTGTCCCAACGAGACCCCAAGTCATCCCCACAAATGGCCTCCCTGGCTCTTGATCAAGCTGCTTAATGGCCATGATCCCAGAGACTCAGAAACAAATCTCGAAACTCAGCGGCTTTTGGCAGAAATGTGTCCAGACCCTGCCGTAGGTTACTGTCACCAGGTCACCCGAGGGGGAAGAGGTACCGTCCCTCTGCCTGCTCCCCCTTGGTGGCTCGGTGGTCGCCATCCTCCAGAGGCCATTGAACAGTCAGGTTTCAGCCCTCAGTGACGAGACATGTTGGGTCTCACAGAATGGGAGTGGAGCCGGTCCTTTCCTCCCCATCCCAAAAAGACCCTGAGTCGCCGCCCAAAAACGGCCTCTCTGGCTCCTGATCAAGCTCCTTAACAGCCATGATCCAAGAGATTCAGAAACAAATCTCAAAACCCAGTGGTTTTTGGCAGAAATGCGCCCAGACCCAGCAGTAGGTTATTGTCGCCGGGCCACCCCAGTGGGGAAAGCGTGTTGTTCCTCCGCCTACTCCCCCTAGGCGGCTCGGTGAACACCATCCTCCAGAGGCCACTGGACAGTCAGGTTCGGGCCCTCGGTGATGAGACATGTTGGGCCTCATGGGATAGGAGTGTAGCCAGCCTTTTTCCTCCCTGTCCCAACGAGACCCCGAGTCGCCGCCCATGAACGGCCTGTCTGGCTCCTGATCAAGCTGCTTAACAGCCATGATTCCAGAGACTCAGGAGCAAATCTCAGAACCCAGCAGGTTTTGGCAGAAATCCCTCCAGATTTAAGTGTTAAAATTCCGGAATTTCAAAATCGCATGACCACTACTGCAGCCACGTGACATCATATGTTATTCATAACCAGCAATAGAAAACAAATTGTCTACTGTTGCCTTGTCGGCAGATCTGAGTGTTGGGGTAAAATCTCAAATAATAATGGTGGGTCTGGTGTCAAGATATTGAATGTGATCAAACTAGAGAGAGAGTAATGTGGAAATCATCTGCCCCACATGTAGGGGGAGGGTGAGGGATGGAGGTACACTGGGGTTGTTTGGGGTGGAGAATGGGCCCTGGTGAATGTACGGGTGTTTCATTGTATGACCGAGACTTAGACCTGAAAGCTTTGTAACTGCTATCACAGTGATTAAATAAATAAAATTATAAAAAATGAAAAAAAAGTGAAATCAAATCAGGCATATTTACTGGATCTATAAAGACACAAATGAATCACAAAAGGTTGGTGACAAATCACAAATAATGGATATGAAGAGTAATTGGCTTGATAAAAACACAAAACTGGAAATAAACAGTAACTGGCTTAATAAAAATACAATGAGAATTTTTTCAAAACAGGGGCCATCGAAAGTGATTACACATGTCCTTACTATCTTGACAAAGGAGCTAGATACATGACGAGGAACTGGGAGAAACTCTTCAATAAATGGAACAATAGGATAGCCACATAAAAATAAAAGTAAATAAGATCTGGATCCCTCTTTACCATATATAATATTAATTCAAAGTGAATTAAAGATCTTGATATTTGACCCAAAATCAGAAAGTAAATCAAGGAAAACATAGCATACCTCTCCCTGATATTATATCAGAAAGAAACAGGACTCAAAAGCAATGTGGAAAAAATAGAAACTGAAATCATACAAGAAAAGTAAATCAACGGGATAAAAATTGGAAAAGAGGAAGTCAAGCTATCTCTATTTGCAGACATGATGATATACTTTGAAAACCCTAAAGAGTCCACTCAAATGC